ACTGACAAAAAAAGGCTGGAAAATACAAATGAGAGGCAGATGACCTACAAAGATAACAAATGAATAAGCAAGTAAATTCAACACAATCTGCACACGACTGATGATCAAAAGTTCATCTAATTATCTGACAAACAAAAATATCTCCTTGTCTTTGTCACCATGATATTGATTCACTGTATAGCTTCAATGCACTTTGCCTGTACAACAAATACACTATAAGTTACATCCTGGAGCTGCTTGCAAGACTTCTAGGAGTAGTAAGAGAGACTTAAGTAGCCAGTAGTGGCCATTGTACAGGTCTATTATGGACCCAGAAAAATTTCAGTCAAACCAGAAGGTTTGCATTAAGTGGGGACAGCTTGATCAACAGTAATGCAATAACTGTGCAAACTACCCCAGCTCATGGAAGAAGCTCAAACAGTACACAAACTATTTGGATCAGTTCTTCACAGCTGGTCACAGTCTACAGTAACAGTAGTTTAAGCTACAGCAAAGTTACCACGCTAAAATCCAAACAGTGTTTTGTTTCAGTTTCCTCTGTCTTAACTACATATTCCTTAACTTGAAAAAATAGACACAACTTCCATTTCCAAAACCTGTTTCTTGAGTCATGAATTATGTACCTTAATGCTCTAGTATTGTCTGTGTTTTCCATCTGCAAAATCCCAAAAAGCTGGACCCCAGAAACAGCTTTGTGCTATTACACAGCAACTGCAAACCCATTGTGTAATACTCAGCCCTACGTTACATGCACTGTTTGTTATTTCACAATGGGGGGGGGAAGCTAGATATATAAGCCTTATTCAAAAGCATATTTCAGTGCTTGTAGCCCCCTAATTTAAGCAGATGGATGTTATGAAAGGTTGCCTGGGTAACAAGCCTAAGCTACTTAACATTGCTAGAGGGTAAAGAAGTAGCACCATTATTGCTGGTGAAAGCTAATGATGGGACCTGTTTATTAATAATTTTTTTGGTACCCATCATACCACAGCGGGTGAGCCAGACCCCACAAGACCACTAGGTCTGTGTCTTTCAGTGTCATCAACTTGTAATCATTCCAGTCTATTTTTGAGGACATCATCTGGCTCCCAGCACGGCTGGTTTGAGGACACTTGGTAGGGTAGTTTGTTCACTCTTAGGGGAACATCATTGTTAGCTCAGCTGTCTGACAACATTCTGGTAGGTGAAACAAGGAAGCACCTGGAGCATGCCAGGTACACAATGAACCTACAGGTTATTGCCTTTCAAAGTTAATAGAACCTTATTTGAGAGATCCATTTGACAGAAATCCCTTTTTTTAAATTGTATTGTAGTCTTGATCTAACGTAATAACATCTTCCTTGGAGAGGTTAATGGTTTAACTAAATGTAGCCATGATAACCACTGACTAAACAAATTTCTGTTCACTAGAAAATTATCATTTTTCTAGGAAAGAAACTTTACACTATTCACTTGAAATCATGCAAGGGAATTATTGACAGAAACATTGACCTTAACTAGTAAGGCTGTAAATCTTGAGCTGAAATGAAACCCGAATTTTAATTTTTCTCCATTGCTTTTCTGTTACTTGTACAACAATTTTCCTTAGGGGAAGGATATCATCTGCATGTTTGCAAGTTGTTACATTTATTAATATGACAAAATAGAAATTAGAAACACTAAATACCAAAGTTAAAAAGCAGACATGCAGAGAAACAAGTAGGGTAAGAGGAACGAAGTCACCAGCTGTGCATCTGCTACAGAACCCCAAAACTGAGGGATTAAAAACAAAGCAATTTCTCACTTTGTATTACCATTTGTATTTTTGAAAACTCATGAAGACAGGTGGAATTAGCCCTACAAAAACATCAGGAAAGGATCTCAGGGTACCTGAAGTCAGTAATCTCTGAGACTTGCTAGGCATTCACTGAGTGTTCTAGAAGTAGAAGGTGAGAGAAAAGCAACACTACCAGCTTTCCTAAACTTGGAAAGTGCAGTCCTGCTCCCTCAGGCCTTGGGGTCTTACAGAAAGAAAGTTGAAGTGAGTTACAGCGTGATTTTATTTACTGTCACTGTTAACCTTCATTTTGTATGGAGATTTCAAAGAACACTCTTTTCAGGAAAATTTAACCTCAGGTCAAGCTTTGGGACTTACAAATGACAGACTGTGCCAGAGGCTGGCCAGCTAAATGGAGAGCAAGCACTGCAGGGACACGCCTCTAACCCAGGCAGCACAGGCTGGGTCCCACAGGCACAGGGAGCCTCCCTCAGGTCATCACCCAGCTAGGAATGTGTCTAACCAATGAGCACTGTGTATTAAAAAAAAAAAAAAAAATCCTCTGTGCATTGGTTTTCTGAGTTTCTTCCATAATAGGGACAATACTGGAAAAACCTTTGTCCTCAGGGCAGCATTTGTTACTCCTCTCAGTGCCGTGCTTACTTGGAAGTTGTTTTCCCCTGCAGTTATTTTCAATAGCCTCTATGTCCCTCACCCTCCAACTGTTACGGATTATTATTTCCACTCTTCCTTGTAACACAGTTAGCATTGTTGCAGCTTTTGGACTGCTTGCAGTTTTACGGGCACTACCTCAACTGTCTATAGTTATTTGCTTGAGCCAAAACCAATCAGTCCAAGTTTACCAGGGTTTTTAGCATCCTTTTTCATATTGTCATGATTTGCCCACCTGGCAGCTGTCAGTGTTGCCTGTGTTATGCTGCCTTCAGTACTGACAGAGGAAAGCAAATTCACTCATTGCACAGACTGGCTTGCTCACTGTGACCATTTAACACACGATCTTCTCTTCTCCAGACAGCGCAGACAGTGCTTCTCGTGGTTGCTGTGTTCCTGCTCTCCTGGCTGCCACACCACATCATCACCATGTGGGCAGAGTTTGGTCACTTTCCCCTGAACAACATCTCCTTCACCTTCCGCATCATCTCTCACTGCTTGGCCTACGGGAACTCTTGCATCAACCCCATCCTTTACGCTTTCCTCTCGGAGAATTTCCGCAAGGCCTGCCGCCAAGTCTTCACCTGCAAGCTCTTCCTGCGGCCGGCAGCCGCTGAGAAACTGGCCAGAGTGCGCATGGAGAACTTCTCTACCACCCACTCCACCACAAACGTGTAAGCTGGGCTCACAAAAACCTTTCAGGAGGAAGAGGAGGGAAGAAGGTTCTGTCTGGGGAGAACATGCATGCAAGTGTATTCCAGGGAGCAGTGGAGTCTGCAAAAGTGTGGACTTCGCCAGGTTACTGGAGTGATAGAAGACGTATTTCCTTCTCGCTGTGATGACATGACAGAGCCTGTCCTAGGGTACCTTGCTAGACACTGGGCTATGTGCAACAGGATTACCTGAATGCCCATAAGATAAAGCCCAAATGAAGTTGTAGTCATGACCATAGGATCTAAAGCAAGATTTATACAGAGGGTAGAATAAGTACAGACAAGAAGACAGCAGTGAATTACATCTGTAGACATCTGTTCACCTCTCTCATTGAGAGGTGAACAAGGAGTGATGTGAGAGCAGTTTGGGAGAAGTCAAACTAAAGTATTTGGATGTCTTTGTTTCTTCAACAAATTTGACCATGTGTGAGCTGCATACACATTTAACTCATTACTGGGAGTAGGGTCTCTAAATCCCCTTGAAGGCTTTGTTGTAGCATTTACTTATTGGGCAACTACATCTTTCACATGATGATGAGTCAGTGCTGTGGCTGTCTGCATCTGGTGGCTCTGTATCAGCTTTTACATCCTAGAGTGAGTGTCAGTGTGCTCCTGTGTGTAATTACTGCTTTAATCACTGGCTCCAGCGACTGTCTCTTGGTGAGCAACAATACGAAAGTGGTATTTCTCAATATATGCTTAAAAAACTGTGGCTTTTTTTGAAAGTACTGTCTAAAAAAGGTTTTGTTGGTAAATACAGTATTCTCTTCAATCTATCTACCCAAGACCTTTAATCACTGGCTCCAGTGACTGTCTTGGTGAGCAACAATACGAAAGTGGTATTTCTCAATATATGCTTAAAAAACTGTGGCTTTTTTTGAAAGTACTGTCTAAAAAAGGTTTTGTTGGTAAATACAGTATTCTCTTCAATCTATCTACCCAAGACTTTATTAGCCACTTTAGTATATAAATGCCTGAAATTTGTGGTGAGGGGTTTTTTGGGTTGTTTGGGTTTTTTGACAAACTATTGTTATCAACTAGTGACAAACTAGTGTTATCAAAAGGTAAGGGCATTTGTACCATGTTCAAGGTTATTACTTGTAACTATATGAAGTGCATATTACTTCAAAAGTAGGAAGCAAATGGCTGAAATAATTTCATTATTTCACTGTGTTGTCTAATTCAGTATTTCTATGTCCTGCAATCCAGACTGATGTGTTCATAGACTGTAAAAATGTGAGTTACAGAAGGTAAACTACAAATTATTTGCTGTCCATGCAATGAATGGGTTTCCAGTCTACAAATGGATGACTCTTGCACTATATTTCTAAAACTTGGGAGCTATTGTGTTAAGTAATTTACTGCCGTTTGTAACTTCCTTTAAGAGCCCCTAACGGTGCAATATGAACAGAGCACATGTACAATAGGATAAAGTCACTGCCTGATCCTTGGATAACTATCTGTGCAAATATTCTGTTTAACTTTTATTCTCAGTATACTGAGAGTAGCTCCAGTGAATTATTTCCTTAAGAACTAGATTAGATCCAATGCTGTAATCTTCTCATTTACCATAGTGTAGAAATCAACTATTTCTACATTCCCAGTGATTGCACAGCCTAAAGTGGAGAGCATGGGAAAAACAGCCACCAAAAGAAAGGGTTGTGGCAAATCACTGCAACAGAAATCAAAGCTAAAATGCTTATTTGTTTGACTATTTACCATGGATAAAAACTAGCAGCTAGAAGTGAAAGAACCTCAGCCTCACTTCAACTCTCTTGGTTGGAAGCAAAATAGGACAAAGGCACAACATTAAAAAAAAATCCTACACTCACTCTGTTACGTGAGAGTCACTAGAACCTGTGAGTCAACACACTTCTTTTATTTAACAGAAGACATCTTTCAGTGTGCTGGGGTTGGGGTTTTTTTACAGTCAGTTCAGAAACCATACATGTCACTACAATAAGCAGAAAAAAATGTAAAGGAAACACTTTAGGGCTTTTTATTTAATATAACATGAAGGAGCAAGATCCCATTTCTCAGTGAAAGGTAACCATAAAATAACAAATTAAGGCCTTGAAAGAGCCTCAAGCCTTATTGTGTCTTCTCATTCCCACTGGACTTTACAGGTATCTGGTCTAGAATTCTCTAAATGAACTGCTACAATCACAAGATCAAGTATCCTTTGTCCTTTAGTCCTTTGTGTCTGTAACTGGACAGGTTTTTTCTCCTGCCACAGTAGCAATTTTTCAGTTTTAATAACGAATGTCAGCTGATGGTGGTGGGCAGTAATGAAATGCAATAGAATGGCATATCATACAAACATACTTTAATTTGGAATTGAATTTAAATTATGTCTCAAAATAAGTAAACCAAATCAACTGATGAAGTAATTCCTCAATATTCTCCAAAAGCATTCTGTTACTCACTTACTAGCTTACTTTGGGAAACCCACATGTTGTGATGACTTTGCAAATGAATACTGCAGCTTCCAGAATAGTGCACAAAGCTAACCTGATCACCTGGTTCTGAAACTCAGCTCTATTCTTTCCATCTGCCTTACACACAGCAGCTCATTCACTCTGCCTTAATGGCCTCAAGGTAAGCCCCTACCAGAGAATGCCTGGCATATTGAATCAGCCTCCTTTAGGTGAAGGTTTATTAATAGAGTCCATTCCTGGGAGACCTGTCCTTTTCCGGGCTGCAGTCTCTATTTTCCGTACCAGGTCCACGTCCCACCGATGGGTGACAAAACTAACCACAGCTCCAGGTGCCTTGCTCCCAACCCGGCCAACTCTCCCGGCCCGGTGCAGGTAGTCCTGCAGGGTGTCTGGGAAGTCATAGTTGACCACCAGCTGCACACTGCTGGTGTCCAGCCCACGCGAGGCAAGGTCAGTGCAGACGAGGACAGACACGTCACCCTTCTGGAAAGAGGCAAAGATGCCAGCTCTAGCAGCCGCTGACATCTGCCCCTGCAGCCTCAGGTGCTTGATTTTGTGGTCGTCCAGGATATAGCCCAGCCAGTTGACAGTGCTGGCACTGTTGCAGAAGATGAGAACAGCCCCGCCAGATGATGGGCGCTCCTTGAGCAGCTGCAGCAGCTCGGGCAGCTTGTCCCGGCCTTTGAGGCGGACAAACTTCTGCTGGACGTGAGGCGGCAGGCGGTGCAGGCTCTGGGTGCTGAGGGTGACGAACCGGTCCACGTCAGTGAACTTCGCCAGCGTCTCGCTGAGCCCCGCGGGGAAGGTGGCTCCGACCACCACCACCTGCGTCCTCTCCTCGTCGGGACCGGCTGGCCCGGGAGCGCCGGCGGCCAGCGGCGCGTGTGCCAGGACCTCCTCCAGCAGCTCCATGAAGGACTCGTCCATCAGCGAGTCCGCCTCGTCCAGCACCATCCAGCGCAGCCTCTCCAGGGCCAGGAAGCGGCGCCGCAGCGCCTCCCGCAGCGCGCCGGGGGTGCCCAGCAGCACGGCGGGGCCCGGCGGCGGCGCCCGCAGCTGCCTCCGCAGCCCGCGCCTCCGCCGCCGCCGCCTCGGGGCGGCCGAGCAGGCGCTCGAGCAGCGGCAGCAGGTACGCCAGAGTCTTCCCGCTGCCCGTCTCGGCGGCGCACAGCGCGCTGCGGCCGCGGCGCAGCGCGGGGATGGCGAGGCGCTGCACGGCCGTGGGCCGGCTGATGGAGAGCCGCTCCAGGCCGGCCAGCAGCGCCGGCTGCAGCCCCAGCTCGGCGAAGGTCGGGCCCTGTCCCGCCTCAGCCGGCGGCGCCTGCAAAGCGGGAGCCGCCTCCTGCGAGGGCTCGAGCTGGAAGTAATCCCCGTACGCCTTCCGGTGCTTCCAGCCCGCCGACACCAGCGGCGGCTGCTCCCAGCGCCCCACCGTCTGCCAGCGGGGCTGGCTCAGCTCCGGCCGCCGGCTCCTCAGCAGCAGCTTCCCGGAACGCGGCGCCGCCGCCTCCCTCTGCTCGCGCCGCCGGCGCTGCGCGCCCCGCTGCAGGCGCTGCCGCAGGGCCCAGGGGACGCGCACCACGGCCCCGGGGGGCTGCGGGCTCCCCGCCGCCGCTGACCCGCTGCCCTCCGGCCGCCGCGGCAGCAGCAGCGGGAGGGCGAGCGCCGGCCCGAGCCGGCCAAGCGCCATCGCGACCCCACGTGGGGCGGTGGCGCTGCCCGATGACGCCTGAAACAGGCGCTGGCCCCGGTTCTCCCCGCCCCGCGGAGCCGCGGCCGAGCCACGCGAGGAGGGTGAGTGCGGCGGGCGGTGCCGCTCCCTTCTTTCGCCTTTTTCCGCTGCCGGCTGAGGGCTTTCCCAGCGCCGCCACCGCGGGAGCGGTCGCGGCCCTGAGGGGCTCCGGCAGGGGCGGCGCGGGGCCCCTCGCTCGGGAAGGAGCCCGTGGGGCGGGAGCATCCCCCGGCGCCCTCACGCCGGGTGAGCCCGGTCCCCGCTGCCCGGCGAGCCCTGTCACAGCCGGCGGGGCACCACCGCCCCTTCCCGGCAAAGGACACGCCTGTGTTTGCGGGTGGGAAATGGCACTCCGTGGCAGTCCCCCTGGGCTCTCCCTTTCAGGTGGTACCGCAACAGGAATGACGGTGAACACACCGCTGTGCTTCAGAGGAAAGAAGATCCTGGCTCCGATGGTGCGGGTGGGGACACTGCCAATGCGGCTGCTTGCTCTGGACTATGGTGCCGATATCGTGTACTGTGAGGTATGGAGAAGGAGCAGATGAGGCTTTTTCTGATGCCTTTATTAAGGAAACTACAAATGTACTTTTTTCATTGTATGACTTATTCTTTTTTACACATAGTTTTCCATTAAAAATGAGGAAAGGAGAATCTCTATATCTTGAGGCATTTCTCTGAGCCGTTCTCAAGTTATGACAAATCCATTTTTTAAGGCTGTTCACTAACTTTAAGTAATTTAGACAAAACACCATAGCAGTTTCCTCAAGTTGTACTTTTATTTGCATTTGGGGGGATAGGTTGGTTTTTGGTTTTGGGTTGGTTTTTTTTTGGTTTTTTTTTATTTTGTTTCAGTAGAGTCAGAACTTTGAAGGAACTTTGAAGACTGACTTCATGTCTCATCTGGTTAGTTCTGCTATACATCCATGTATTTCACTCATAGCATTGCTCTCCTTGTTTCTTAAACACTTTTTTTTAAGCTGCCTGAAATTGAGGTGTGGGGTCCTCAGCACAAGAACTATTGGACCTGTTAGAGTGGATCCAGAGAGGCCACAGTGTTGATCAGAGTGCTGGAGCACCTCTCCTGCAAACACAGGCTGAGAGAGTTGGGATTGTTCTCTCTGGAGAAGAGAAGGCGCTGAGGAGACCTCGTTGGGCCCTTCCAGTACTTAAAGGGAGCTTTTAAAAAAGAGGGAAAGGAACATTTTACAAGGACAGATAGTGATAGGACCAGGGGGAAAAGTTTTAGACTAAAGAGAGGAGAGCTTGAGATTAGTAAGAAGTTCTTTAACCAGAGGGTGCTGAAGTACTGGGACAGGATGCTCAGAGAAGCTGATCTCTCTAGATAATTACTTAAGAAAATGAGCAACTGTTTAGAGCTGAAACAATTAATCTCACTGAGATTTATTTGATCCTTTCTACTCAGGAGCTGATTGACATAAAGATGCTGCAGTGTAAGAGGGTTATAAATGGTAAGTATGGCATTTCTTTTGATAATACCTGTAAGTCTCTTTTCTAGGTAAGAGAAAGGGTAATTCTTTTTCTGAAGCATTTTTCTAGGGATTATAGTGAAGTATCAGTACATACAATCTCACTGAATTGTGTCTAGGGGCTTACAGTAAGCTTTTGAAGTGCTACCCTAGACCTGTCTGCTGCTCTAGTTTTTGACTTCCAGTTTGTTTGGATGCAGTAGAGACAGTTTCCAGTTTTCTTTTTTTTATGTGTCTTTTTAAATGTTAGCTGTTTGTGTCATGATAATACACACACCCACATACAAGACCTCACTGTTTATCATTCATTTATTAACTTGAAGTCCCTGGGCTGGCCTTGGAATAACATGATTGTCACTTAGAAAGGTATCTTTGAGACCTGGCCCTGTCTGAGTGGCATAGAAACAGTTGTTTGCAATGTCCCTGCTGGGAAACAGAAGTTCACTACAAATCTCCTCTCTCCTCCTGCCCCTTTCCAAAAATAGTACTGTTCATTCTGGCTGAGTCATCACTGGGCTTTGGTACTTTTCAAAGAACCAATGTAAAAATTTTTTACATTTGTACAGAATTTTTGCCTGTTTTATCTGTTTCTCATTTCATACAGAAGTACTTGAAACAGTGGACTTTGTTGCACCTAATGACAGAGTTGTTTTCAGAACTTGTGAAAGGGAGAGAGAGCGTGTTGTCTTCCAAATGGTAAGGAACAAGATATTCTTCTAATAACATAGTTAAATGAGGTGGTTTCACACCAAAGGTGTTGCAGAATTTCTAAGCTGTTGGTACAAATCAAGATTCTACATTGTAAGCTCTCCTTAGAGCTGCTTTCAGAAGAGGTGGTTAAGATAGCAGCTTGGTTTTGTAGGAGGTATCTTAGATACTTCTGTACTTATGGATGTGGATATAAATTGTGCTGATCTCTGATCACACATTGAAGTTTTGCACTGTCCTGTAAACAGTCTCACTGGAAAGACTGAACAAGGCAGCATTGTTTAGTATAGATAAGAGAGGATTAATGTGTGCATTGGCATTGCACAAATGGATTAAAGATTCTCTGTGCTGAAGAGAAGAAGACAGTAATTTGCTCTTAGAGACCACTCTGTGTAGGACAAGAAATTATGGGCTTGGAGGAAGGGGGAAGCGAGTGGACTGCATTAGATACTGAAAAGAGCTTTTTCAGTGGTAATGTAGCCCTGTAGAGTCTGTAGAATTGTTGTTAGTGGAGCTTCTTAAGAACATTGAAATAAATATGTGTTGCTGAGGGGCTAAGAACATTTGATATTGCTGTAGGTGAAGAGGGCAGACGGATCCTTTTTTGTATCACCTTTTATCATCCAGTGGCTGACTCCAATATGTGCTGTAGGTAAATGTTTTAAGTATCCAGAGGGTCTCTGTCTGTATTAAATGTTCACAACAAATATAGTTGTACACGTGTGCAAGTAAGCACCTTGTTTTTTTATTAATTTGATCGTATATTGTAATTATAAATCCTCTTCTTTTACCAACAGGGTTCAGCAGATGCTGAAAGAGCCCTGGCAGTAGCTAAGCTTGTGTAAGTCATCTTCTCTCACCCCCTTCCCACCATGGGTTTGGGATTTTTTTTGTATAGAGGAATTATTGTAGAAGACAGTTTTTTTTATGATTGAGAGCATCAAGGTAGCTCTTGGTAGAACCAGGAAAAGTTCAGCTGCATAAATTCTGTGCTGGGATGGCTTCTTGCTAGTGCAAGTGTGTCCTTGATCTCTCCAGTATGAATTTCCCTGGGTGTTGCACAGCTGCAAGGCCAATACACCTGAAAATGTCCCTTACTGTTTGGGTTTAAAGCCTCCAGTAATATATTGTGTAGAAACTAAAAGTGGCTCTTAAAAAGGTGGTTTTAAGCCTCCATTTGTATAGATGGAAGTTTCAATAGGACTTGCTGTAGTGATAATGGTAAATTTAGTGGTGGATATACTTTATATGGGATTAAGTATATAGAAGGTATTTAAGACGAGTATTTGCAGCTTCTGCACAGCACTGGTTATTGAAACCTTTGAAGAATCTGATCTTCAGACCATCATTAAGATTTATATATTTAACTTAAATAAGTGAGAAGCTAAAAATTCAGAAGTTCAAATTTACCTTAAGTTCTCATTTAAGCCTTTATGATGATGGAACAAATTACCTGGCAAGATATCTGTTTCTTGATTCTTGTTCTAATATGCTAAAAAATAATTTGATTTTTCCTTCTCTTTCAGAGAGAGTGATGTGGCTGGTATTGATATCAACATGGGATGCCCAAAAGAATACTCTACTAAGGCAAGTGGATTTTGATTACTGTTAAATGAGCTTTTTCTATCTTGGCAGTATGGAGTGTAGAATACATGGTCTGGTTTTCAAATTCAAGCAGTAAAATTTTGATGAAAAATTAAATTTAATTGTTTGTAGTAAGCAGAACACTCTAGAAGGTGTCATGGCCCTAATACAGTAAAATAACATAGGCTGTTAGAAAATTAATTTCTTAAAGGCTAGATAAAATGAAGTGTTTAGGATTTTTTAATATTTTTCTGAAGTCATTAACTTGTTGGGTGAGTGAAATAAGTTCTGCCTAGCCTTAATAAAAACTGAAATCACGATTTGTCATCTGAGCAAAATTAGCAAAATAGAGTCACAGCTTAGCTATGCTGAATTCAGTTCTTTGTCAGTTTTAAATGGAAGGACAATGGATCACTTAAAACGTTGTTTGTTTGTTTTGTAATAAAGCACATGCAGTTCTAAATTAGTCTGTATCTGGGACTAGAACAGAGCATTCAAACTGGTTGTTAGGGCTGTTAAGCCACTTGGTGTAGAGATAAAGCATCAATAAATTGAACCATGGCACTCCATTTTGATGTCAAATGCTCCACAGAACCGTAATTAAGAACAAAACACAAAAATATCCATCTTGTACTAGGGTGAAAGATCAGGAGTACAAGTGCTGGTAAATGGTTATTATCCAACAATAGTTCTGGGTCAAAGAAATTTGTACAAAAATGTTGTTGGCCTCTGCATCTATGTATGCAGATGAAACAGTGTGGGAAGAACAGCTAAAATATTAAATAGTTCATAATTATGTTAGGGATGAAAAATAGGAAAATGGATGATTATGTTTGCTAAAAATAGCTTTCTGAAATCCTGTCTGCTCCCTAAAGTGATGAGAGCAAGTTGATGCCCTGAATTACTGCTTAATTATTCTGATACAGGTCTAAGAAATGTAGCATGAAGGTGTTCAGTAATGCTCCTGTATTTTACATTTTGCCATTTTTCCCTGAATATAATATTGTGCTTTTGTTGTGGTCTGCTATTAGGCAAAACAATTGAGTTGAAAAATGTGTTTGCATAGTGGGTAACAGCTTCTCTCTGTTTTGCCAGGGAGGTATGGGAGCAGCACTGCTGTCTGATCCTGACAAAATAGAGTCTGTAAGTGTCTGACAAAACAGTCTGTAAGTATCACCTGGTGGGATTGGAGCTGCCTTGTGCACTGTGCTCTACTGGCAGCAGGGATGAATTGCATAGACAACAAATTTGTGATTGCTTGAGTGGAACACTCAGTTTAGGACACTGGAGTTAAGGCTATAGATAAATATTCCTGATTTAGTTCTGGACTATAAAGCTGCTACTTTTGGGGTTTTTTCAGTTTAAAAACTTCCAGTGTAGTGCAGTATTTGTGAGTTTTACGTGTCTGCATATTTTTTAAAATCAGAGTTCACTGGTCACGCTATATTAAAAGCAGTGTTGAAACTCCAGCAGCTCTTAATTGCTCTCTAAAAATCCAGTTCAAATCAACAAAGAAGTGGCAGTAAAAATGTCTTAGACTATAAGTAGTCTTGTGTATCTAC